CCAGTATTGACGAATAAGACTCAAGGTTAGGACAGCTTAGTATGTCAGATAGGTAAACCAAGGGAATTCTCCCTCGCATTTCAAAAGGGCTATGGGTATCCTTGCTTTTTAAAAAGAGCAGTGTTGTTTTGAAAGGTTTTTTTTTTTTTTTTTAAGGTACAATTTTACCTACTGTTAACTTAGACTGACTTTGACTCTTAAATTTTTTGTTTTGATTAATAATTTGACACGTGTCTTGCTCTCCCCTTTCTTGAACTGTTTTGATTCTCTCCTCCTCTTTTACCTTTCCTCTTTTCCGTCTTCTTCCTTCTCTTCTACTGCTGGTAAAATCAAACTCAACAATAATCAAATTGAAAGGCTTATCCAATTAAAAGATTAATCTTTTTATGTCAATCAAACCCAAATTTGTTTAGAATTTTTTTGTTAAAAAAAAGAGGAATCTCATTTTCACAGTCAATTCACAATCAGATTCAATAATCAAAATATAGAGCCAAGACCTTAACTAGAATTCCCTCAACCAAACCTTTCTTGTTGCAATGTGTGTACACCTGAAAGTTCACATGTAGGATTTTTAGCCGGCTATTTAGGGAGCAATTTTTCTTCCTTCTTCAATGATTTCAACAGCCAATTGAATCAAAAGAAGGAAAGAAAAACATCAAAGTACAACTTAGTTTTCTTCAATAAGTATAAGAGGCTGGGGATTGAGGGGAGTGCAAATCTTGACATGCCCATACACGAAAGAAAAGCACGCACTATCTCTCTATTTTCTGTTTGGTTTCACTGCCGTTACTAATTTCCATTTCCTAAGATTATCTTGTTTATCCATCTTTGATTTCCCATACTGTTGAAGATAAAGATCTCCAACGCAATGAACCTACCCATGGAGGAAGCTCATTGCCGATTACTGTGCGCCCTCTCCAAATCATTCATCACCCTCTTCTCCATCTCTGCCTCTTATTAATGTTAGTTCCTACGTAAGCTCAAACTTCGATGAATCCATTTTCTCTAGTTCAATGTCTACTCTCGGCCTTCTCTTTCTTGTTTCTTAAAAAAAAAAAAAAAAAGGAACGAAGGACTTCAGATCCCCTGGCAGTTGAAATTCAGAAATTTTTTATTTAATTTTTTTTTCCTGAATTTATGCTCCGTCTCTTGACCACATACCTGCTTGTGCGAGTTCTTGACAAGATCAGCTCCAACGCAAATCGAAAACCATTGTTTGAAAGGAGTTCCTTTGAAGGAGGGCTAGGGTTGAAGAAGTGAAATACAGGGATAAGAAACAATGGATTCCCTCACATTTTCTTCCTTTGCAGCATAGCTGTATTGGGATTCCAAATTAGTAATAGGTTTTTCCCTATAGCGAGAAGATGAACGAGAACAAGGAAGAAGAACTAGCAGATGACACGTAAAATTTGTCAAACTAAGAATTAGCGGTCAAACGTTAGTCAAAAATATTGGTTGGACAAAATTGTATTCTTTTTAAAGTTTTAGAACAACATTATTCGTTCTTAAAGATGAAGATAGCCATATGTCACGACCTTAGAACTCCTTTGTCCTTGAACCATGCCGGCTTTAACGTGATCAACTTTTTAATTTTTGCTAAGTCAACTTAACCTTCAGAATGTAGGCAAAGAAATTAGAAAACTTGAACAAGAGAAGAGAGAGCTTGGATAAGAGAACTTGAAAGATTATAATTTTGCTTGTTGCTTACAAATGAAAGTTGGGGGGTATTTATAGGCCTCTCTCTTTCTTTAAAAAATTCCAATCTCTTTAACGGACGGTAGAGATTAATCAAATTCTATGATGTATATTCATCCTCTAGAGTGTTTTGTAGAATATTTTAGAACATCCTAAAATATTTTAGAATATTCTAGAGATATTCAAGTTCCTCCATAAGTTTCTAGAATTTTATAGAAACTTCTAAATCTTTATTGATTTCTCTAGATAATTCTATATTATTCTAAATGCTTCTGGAACATTCTAGAACATACTAAATTTTTCTTGAATGTCTTGAATTTTTTCGAACTTCTTGTCCTAGACATCTCTAAAACACCTAAACCTTGTAGGTTCTCCTCTTTTAGACATAGGTTGTGACATTCTTCCTCACCTACTAATCCAATGACGCCCTCATTACTGACTTGATTCACATACTAAGGATTCTTCTAGCAAGGATTTTCCTTCTTCTTTGTCACGGCCCATTACTCTTCTCCCAAAACACTAGCTCATCAGAGTGCGGTGCATACCTTTCTCCCCTTCCATCCATAAGGACCATGCCATTCTATTCACAGGTGATCAAAGTATCATTATCTTTTCTCCCACAAGCTAACTTAGTAGGACGTGTAGCGCACTCACTTGTATAGCCAAGACCCTTCCTAAAGTCCCTTTGATATGAGATGTAATAATTCCTCCAGGCAATTTGTGACGCCTCCCTTATCGATGGCTTATCAAAAGGGCTTATCGACTTGGCAAACTTGAGTCTGACTTAGACCTTCAACACAACTCTTTACCCTTTCAAGTTCTCTAAGAGTTTGATCCTCCAGCATACTCATATCATCCTCATCTTCTCAACCTTATCAACCATCTCTTCCATGGTTCTCTCTAAGACATCGATTTTAACCAACAAAATAGCAAGATCCTCCATGCGCATCCTACTAGTTCCTTGTGCCTTCTTTCCACCATGGTGTAAAGGCTGAGATTCCCCCTCTCCTCTCTTTTACGTTAGCAAGAGTCTCCTCAGTTACACCCGACATCCTCACCTTTAAGTATGAATTCGAATCACAGCTCCCTCAAACCTTGGCTTTGATAACACATTGTCACTACTTTGGAACTCCTTTATCCTTGAAACATGCTGGCCTTAGCGTGATCAATCTCTTGATCTTTGTTAAGTTAGCTGAACCCTCAGAATGTAGACAAAGAAACTAGAAAACTTAAATATAAGAGAGAAGAGAACTTGGATAAGAGAACTTGAAAGTTCATAACTTTACTTACTTTGCTTGTTGCTTATAAATGAAGGTTGTGGGAGTATTTATAGGCTTTCCCCTTTCTCTAAAAAATTTTCACCTCCTTACTAGACGGTGAAGATCTATCAAATCATACGGTGCACATTCATTCTCTAGAGTGTTCTATACAAATATCTACAATAAATATCTAACTATTTACAAAGATGTTTTTAGAGACAAATTTTTAAGATATGTGTAGAATATTTTAGAACACTCTAAAATATTCTAGAATATTTTAAAGATCTTCAAGTTTTTTCTTAAGTTTCTAGAACCTTTTAGAACTTTATGGATTCCTCTAAATAATTCTATATTATTCTAGAAGTTTTTAAAATATTTTAGAACATATTAGATTCTTTTTGAACGTTTGGACTTTTTTGAAATTCTTGTCCTGAATGCCTCTAAAACACCTAAACCTTGTAAGTTCTCCTCTTTTTGGACATAGGTTGTGACATATAGCTCTTTGGAGAAAACTTTCGAGACAGTTTTGCCCCTTAACTCTATCTCAAGTACTGGTTCTAACATAATCGTGTGATTGGAAGTTTGCTACTTTTTAATCTTAACCTAACCTTGTGATTCCGATCTTCTTTGAAGACATAGAAAATAGAGATATTAAAGCTTTTTTTTGTGATTATAATGCCAATATCTCAACTAGGACCACTCATCTTTATTTTGATGGTAACTGGCCTCCTGAACACTGTTACTAAATATCAAGAAACAAGATACCGCAAAGGTTACATCAGCCGAAAGGAAACAAGCTCTTCTCCATTCACTCTCGCGTGCTGCTGCATGGAGAAGTTGGAGATAGAAATCATTTTAAGATTCTATTATGAAGGATGATGTCCGTTAACTGTTATGAAAGGGTGTTAATTTTCATGGCTGTGGAAGGTTAAGCAGAGATCCTGAGTCTCTGTTTTTTTGGGCATTAGATGTACTGATTTACTTTCCATTTTCATTTCACTGTTTTCGTATCTACCAAACGGGTCCTAAATGTAGTCAGAAGATTGCCCAAAAAACAGAATCATTAGAGCATTGGTCCGCTTTACTTTGATTTAATTTTTCTTTTGTAATTTAGCATCGACCTTGTTATTTGGACGATAGAACAGCTGAACAGAACATGAAAAATATGCCCCCTGCCTACACAAAATTAAAAAAAAAAAAGAAAGAAAGAAAAGAAAAGAAAAGAAAAAGGAAGGAAGGGAAAAAAGGACTGCAGCACCAAATTTAGGTTCCCCCATTCAGCAGATGCTGAATTTGAAGCCGGAAGTGCGATGCAACAACCTACAAGATTGGCTTCTTAAATTACAGATTATAAGTAGATTAGATTGGTGAGTTGTCTATCGTTACTCATTCAATACGTGTTTCACAATTAGAAATTTTATTATATAATACTTAAAAAATATAAAATTTCAATTTTTTAAAAGGATAATATACATGAGAAGTATTCTAATAATGAAAATTGTTTTAAATTTTTTTAAAAAATATATTTTAATAATTTTAAAATATTGGTGAAATTCAAAATTATAATTAGAATATTCATTAAATGAGTGAATTCAAACTATTACCGTGCCCAAATCCGTCAAAGTTCCTTAATATATATTTAAGCAATAGCAAGTTAACAACTCCCATCCCAACTTGTCTCCTTCCGCTCTGGCTACAGGTTCTTTGCTGTTTTAATAGTTAAGCCAATCAGAATTGATGTGGATGACACAAATTGAGAGAGAGAGATGCGTGTATGTATCATTTTAATAAATTTCTTAAAAGAAACAAAATAAAAATAAATAAATAATCTACTAAATGTTAGTTTAAAAACAAGAAAGTTGAAATAAAAATTTCGGACCGTTCAGATGTGTGGTTGGAGAACAGCAACATGGCGCTGGTGTTTTCCAATAATGGAGAAACCAAATTTTCCCAGGCCCACAACTATTCCGATTATTAATGGCTTCCAACCGACGATGGAAATACCCGGAAAGTTGAAGAAATAAGGCTTTAATTCACACCATATGATTAAAAAAACAGTAGATAGTAAATATTAAATTATCAATCAAATGTACATCACATATCCAACATAATTCAGATATCAAAATACAGAAGAAAGGGAGGAAAAGAAAGCGTGTCATGTTTTACACAGGGAAGACAGTATCTAAGCAAATGACATCTACGTTGGTATTTTAGACCATATCCACAAGACCAGGAAAAAGGTTCAACACGGTTATACGACATCAAAATTCCAAGGAGTCCGCAGACAGAAACATAAGAGAAGAACAACAGTGAGAAGATGAGGAAGACTAATATCAAGCCTCACGTCCCATGGTCTGCTCTGCAGGGGGAAGCATGAGCAGTACTGGTTTGGCGTTAAAGCCAGGATGGGGCAGCCTCCTACGCAGCTCCCGAGCTTCTTGGCAAAGGGCGCACGAATGACAGATCACATGTGTTGCAAAGTCACACGCTGTCTCGTACTGTTCTATCTGCGCTTCATCCATCACAAAGCTTCCGCAGCACCCACATGATCTGTTCAGTGCCTCGCAAGTCCCCTGACTCCATACATTACATATTTTATTTCATCAGTTCAACCTTTCATGTGGCAGCATAGGGATGCGAGTTTTTGAGACTCATATAGAAGAATTACTTCACTAATTAACATGTAATTTAGTTGTACGTTTGAGGGGAATCTGTCTCTCAACAGTTTCTAGGTTTGGGCTTATTTTCGTGTCGTCAGAATCTGAACCTAACGGATACATTTGAAGTCGTGAGTGAGCAAATAACAGCTCATATAAATTGAAGCAATGCAGAGGTAATACTGAAACCACCCTCAGTTTAGATAAACAAACTTGAAGCACATAAATTGAATCTGCAACATGTGCACACACAAGTAGCAAAGTTGCTCACTTGATTAGGGAGTTTACGTGTCATTTCCTAAGCAAATACGTCAGTATAGGACTATTTCCTTGGCACAACACACAAGCAACCACGACTTCCCAATTGCACCCCCTAACAAAAATCCTAAGGCCACTAAGGAAATAAATCCAATATATGTAAAAGTTAATTAAGGAGTTTGTTTTGGTTCTAAATATAAAACCTCAATCTCCTTTGTCCCCGTGTTTATTATTTTTCTCCCGAACTATCCTTGCTGATTGCACACATGCAATCAAGTGCGCAATCAAAAGGGATATTTTCTAATTTAAATGATCAAAAGGAGGAATATTTTAGGAAAACCAACTATGTGAATTAGTTATCTAGCTCCTAGCCTCCTATATTTAGAACTGGAGGGAGAATATTGAATACTAACAAACCCATCTTACAATTAGAAATTTGAAAATATTACATATGAAGATATCAGACACGAATTTCAATGCAGCACTTACACCATTGGTAATAGCATATCTCGTAGTAGTTAGAAAAGCAGAGGAAGCCCAAAACACATGGAACAGATAAAATATACCGTTCTAATATGCTGCGAGTGGAACATATAACTTTGAGTCCGATTAAGAGAGGTAGAGGAAGGCCTAAGAGAACACTCTTGGAAGTTGTTGAACGTGATCTCTTAATTAATAATATTTCTAAAAGCTTAATAAATGATAGAACACAATGGCGTCTTGCAATCCATGTAGCCGACCCCACCTAGTGGGATAAAGGCTTGTTGTTGTTGTTGTTGTAATATGTTGCGAGTGCGATCTTATTGTGTCATTGTCTGATGCTTTACTTTTTAAATTGTTTACACGATTGACATTGCATTCCACATGCGGTCATGCTTGTATATATGTATTATTTACAGCCAAGTTAATAAGAGGTTTGAAAAAGCACAACTTTGTTAACAAAACATCAACAAAATAAACAATAAATAAATCAACCAAAAAAAAAAAAAACAGGAAACAACTTGCCTCTAAATTGAACCTGCGACGAATAGCAGTACGGCTGGGATAGGAAAACCAAGGAGCAAGACAATTGCAACCAAAAAAGGATTTCCCAAATATATACAGACCAGAATAAGGCAAGCAATGGTTGGCAAATGTTCCAGGATCAGATCCAAGTCGCTCAACGTTGCTTCCATAAAGCACACATGGAGCCACGCTCCCAAGTAGACCTATTGCATCCGTGTCATGAGTTTAAGCAAAAGAAAAAAAAATTGAAAACGTTTCGGGAACTCCATATCTTAAGGGAAAACACATAAAATAGAAACAAAAATTCAAGATCCCCGATATTTTCTAAATCACAAATGTGGCTCCAAATAAATCACATATGACCGACCACCTATAAGCAAGAAAATGTGTACAGCCAAATAAAGAAGACGGTTCTTGAAATCACATGATATAGGAGAAGATAATCTATTTACTTTACATATTAGCTTCAATGAGAAAGGAAGCCCAAAAATGTCAGGCACTTTCATGTCTCACAACACACCAAATAAAAATGAGGCGAGCGAATGTTACTTTTATTTGATTAAATAATACATGATTGTTTTTTCTGATTAACCAATCTCATTTATTTGAAAGAGCCGTCACGAGAGGCTCGCTAATTATAAATGAAAATCTAACCGAAGTTGGCTCATACCGCATCAGGCCACAGAAATATGGGCATTCCGAGATCACATAAAGCCCACATCTCCAAATTTTCCCAAACCAAAGGCATAAGATATTATGAACAGCGAGAAAGAGACTTACAAACTTCAAGATCGCTACTGCAAAACTCATCGTTGCGGCCAAGGCAAGCGCAAATGCTGGAGTTCCACTGAGACCGGCCCACGGGCTCGCCCACTGCACTCCCCTGTACTAAGGGGAGGCCGTCGGCGGTCCAACCAAATCCATTAGAAATAGCAGACTCCAAGGGCAGCCGAGACTTGAGAGCCGCAGGCAGCTCCGGTAACGGCGGAGGAGCTTGGGGTTTGTTGTCAGCATGCAGAAACTGGGTGACAAGAGGAATGGCCTCCTCGTCACGATCATCCTTCATACCCATTACGGAATTGGGAAATGCGAAATGCGTGGACTTGGTGAAGAAGAATTGAAGAGGATGAGAAGAAGGATACGGTAAATCATAGAAGTATGAGACCAAGAGCCGAGATCAACCAATGAACGTGATTGGAAGCAGCCCGCGTCCAATCGCCTGTAACCGACTTTCTTCCCTTTTCTTCTCTACCATTGGCCAAATTTAATTCATCCGCCTCCACTTTTTCTCTTTTAAAAAAAATAAAAAATAAAAGGAAGAATTGGTAGAAAAAATCTAATTAAAACTAAAATTATCCTCAAGCATCAAAGTATATTGAAAGATCAAGTCTATTATCTGATTCATAAAATAAATTAATTAAATAACTAAAATACCTTGCTATGTTAACTAAGAAAAATTGAGAAAAAGACACAAAATTTGGTAACCGGATCTCCAACGTTCTTTGTTCACTCTTCCAACAATTGATGGTGTCATTGTTGAAGCTTTAGCCGGCAAGTGAAGGGTCGTCGAAAGTGTCGCAAAAAAATTTTAAACCCCTTAATTACATATAATTATTAAGGATTACATGTAAACTCAATAACCAAAATGTGTAAGCAGTGACAAACTCAAAAAAATAAATCAGTAGGAGCATAATTTATACTTAAAATAAATACATATATTTTTATAAAAAATAATTATATTTTTTATATGAGTTAATAAAATTAAATATTTAAAACAATACATAAAGATAGCATCAGAATAACATAAAAGACTCTCTTTATATATATCATCATGTTTTTTAATTTTCATTAAATAAAATTTATATTCCCTTACTTAAACTTATAAGATGTTTTTGACTAAATCTCACCTCAATAAATTAGTTAACTGTCTTCAAACTAATATTATCTTTCTATATTTACCCTTATTTAATAAGATATTTTACTTTAAAATAAATATAAAGTGATCTATTTATTAAAAAGTACTTTTTAAAAGACACATTAATTACACATTGAAACACTAAAAATACTTTACATTTTAATATCTAACGCCTAAATTTAATTGAGGGAGTATACCTCTTTTGTACGATAGAGAATTTTGCACACAAAAACCTCTTCATTTTCTTATCATCATTTTGCCTCCAAAGAAATTACATGTTTGAGAATTTTTTGTACAAAATTTGTTTCATAAACAATTCTTTTTGAACTATTACTTTTCCATCATAAAACTATTGCTATTCAAGGTTTTATATATATATATATATATATGTATATATATATATATATATATTATAGTTTCAGATAATAAATTTTTCAATGGGATAAGTAAATTTTTATTAGGAAATAAATGAAATCCTTTTGAAGTGGGGGGCAATTAAAAATTTTTTAAAGGGGCAGTAAAAATATAACCTAGGTCATTTTAAGTAATTTTTTCTTGACTTTTGGGGGTATAGCAAATGTGGATCTGTCCCTTGGTGTAAGGGTTTTTGACTTAAGGTGCAAGGCTTCTAGTTTAGGATACGCGTGTTTTTGGCTTAAGGTGCAATGCTTTTGACTTGAGTGCAATATTTTTGATAAATTATATGTAAACCAAACATGTAGAGGGTATGCCCTATCAATCCCTTAAATTTATATGAAAATGACTATGGATTAATGTAAATCAATATATGATGAGCATGACTAAGGAATGATTTACATGTAATCTTAAGCAAATTACATGTAAATCAAACACACAGATAGCACGCCTTTATCAATGCTCATGAATTATATGAAAATGACTACAAATTGCATGTAAATTAATATATGAAGAAATTCACGAGCATTCTTGAGGAATACTTTACATGTAATATCTAGCAAATTACGTGTAAATTATAACATTTTAAAAAATTATTTCCCTGATTAATTAGGAAAATGAAGGGTAATTATGTAAATTTAAGTATAAATAGATTTGATGATAGCTACAAATAGCTAATAGACCTATTGGGTTTAACTTTAACCATTAGATTGAGTTTGAAAGTGAATTAGGACACCTAGGCTTAAATTGTAGAGAAAAAAATGAATTTTTGCCTACTAGGTATTATGCTGCAGCATAATTTCCAAAATTAGCTTTTTTAAAACATGAAAAAAGGTATAAAACAGGGAGAGAAGGCTAGACAAAAGAGGAAAGGCGACGAAGAGAGTAACTGCTCTGCTAGGATATCAACTTTTGAGTATTTTGGATGTGATTGAAGCTTGATTTCATGATAATTTTGGATTGTTAGATAATATATTAGTGACTATTTAAATTGTTGAGAGCTAAATGAAGTTAATGGGAGTTAAAGAACTCATTAGATGTCAGGTTTATCTTGTGATTGAGAAATTTGGTTATTAAAGTATGAATTTAGACGTTAAAAATGGTAATTTTGATGATTATTAGTGATGGGTGTTAATGTTAATTGTAGATCAACTTCATGAAGTACCAAAGAGCTCGAGTTTAGCTCAGAAGCAAGTGGTAATGAGAGGTAAACCTTTGACCTCTCAAAGGTTTGAGGTAACAGAGAAAAATTTAGTTTTTGCATTTGCTTGTTATTTAATTATATGTTTAAATGAATTGTTTAAAAATCATGTGATGTTTGTAAACTGACATTTGATGCAAATTGTGGCAAAGTGAATAAGTTTTTGTGTGTTGATATTGATCTAATGACATGTGTAAAGATAGTTGTCTATATAAATGTGTACGTGATGCGTGGATAAATGGTATGTTTGAGCATAAACACAAGAGCATGTCAAGACTTATGGTGTGATGATAATGCGATATGAATGAAGTAGAATATGTGATGAGAATAATAACTAAAGGTGAACAAAATGGTTAATAGATTTCGATGATTGAGAAATTACATGCAATGCATTTAATGAGAAATTTTATGTTAAAGTAGGCATGTTTCATTTGCATGATCATTAGGAGGGAGTTCGCTTATAGAGAGAGGAGTAGATGTTATAAATTCATGTGATATTAATGGCTTGCCGTTGGAATTGAAAGCTAGTCAAACTGCCAACTGTTGAAATTAAGAGGTAGTCATTGTCTTATTATTATTTAGGGATTATCCTACTTATTCTTTGAGAAATTCAAACCTAGCTAGTTTTTATTGATTCATGAGGAGGCTATATTAAGGGCATAATACCTCATGATTGTTAATATAGGAAGAAACCAAGTCTTAAAAGTGAGTATAGCAGCCTTAATTGGGTAGCTTCTTATGAGTGAAAAGTTTGGGAAGTCTGATTTTATGGATATAACCTACTAAATAGCCATTGATTTCATGTCAAAGGTATCAGAAGGGTGTAAGGTTAGTATTGATCATGTATATCATATTTCAACTATATGATTGTTATTATTGTGGTCTAGCATAATTTGATAGGGGCACATGGTTGTTAGTATTGTGACCCCATATGTGTTTTGATGCATATTATTATATGACTATATGATTGTTACTTTTATGGTCTTGCATGTCTTATAAATAGCACATGATTGTTATTGTTGTGATCCTAACATGTTAAGTAATCTAATGTTACATGATTGTTAGTTTTATAACTATATGAATTGGGTGGTTTAATATGTGAACATGTTTTATTTGAATATGTCATTACATTACTATGATTAATTAACATACATTTGTATAGGCTAAATTAAACTTAGTTACTGTATGGTTGTACTCATCCCTATATTTAATGTTTTGTAAACACTAGTTTTGAGCAGGATAAAGGAAAAGCATTAGAGGCTTAGGAACTCGATTTTCCATTGTAGGCCTCTCACAATTTAGTTACATATGTATAATTAATTGACATTGCCAATTAGAATTTCATATTTTGTTATACTTGCATTATTGATATTGAGTTTTGAAATGTGTATTTTAGGCCCTAACGTGTGTGGTATCTTTTTAGTTGAGATATTTGAATAAAGCCAAAATACCTGTGTAAGTAAATAGTAAGTATATTTGTGAATGATAGTGATTTAAATATGAAATTATATGATTTGGCTCCCTCTTATATTTTTAAAATTAAGGAGTTAAGTAGTAAAAATGTTGTATGTGTGTTGTTTGATTGTTGTGGTGTATTGCATGACTTTGTTATAGTTCATTGAGTGTGGTTTAAGGGTTAGTGTGGGTTTTGGTATTTGGATTGAGTTCTAGACACTTTGGTTATGTTTTGAAAGTATAAGTGAGTGAGTTTATATTTTAGTGTCTAACTTTTGATTGAGAAATAATTTGAATGCAAACACTCCCATTAACTAAAGCTCAGAAAAAGCTTTTTATAGACAACTAAATCATCTCAATCAAACATCTGATGAAGATTTAGTAAGCGCTAAAGTTCAGCCAGGAAGTCTGTCATGATAGCTTGTTGTTGTAATGGGTTCTACAGTTTATGCCACAACATAAAATTTTATGCTGCAGTGTATTTTTTCAGAATCTTTGTGTTTGCTATTTTGACTTGAATTTCATGTTATCTTACCTTATATGATGTTCATACTTTTGTTTACATATTTTTTTTTGATTTTGGTTTTTCTTAACTGATTTTATAGCATTTTAAGTTTTGAAAACTTAGTAATTCATTTGAGTTATTCTCGTGACTATCTCAAATTTTGGAGTTAATTATGAATTAATAAGAGCGACTTTTCATAAATCAAACACATAGAGAATACATTATTGTCAATGCCATTGATTTACATGAAAACGACTATAAATTACATAAAAATGACTAAGCCAGAAGTTTTGCACCATAAATCAGATCCCTTGCACCTTAAAAGCTTTACACCTAGGCCACACCCCTTGCACCATAAATCAAAACCTTTGCACCCTAAGCTAAAATCCTTGCACCCTCTAATTTTGGCATCCCAAATAAAAAAAAAAGGGAACACTCACAATAAATTCCCTCTTGTTTAACTATTATACATTGTATGGTAAGCCATAATAACCTGTAAATGATGCAGATTCGACAATGTAAAATGAAGGACAACTGAATTATCCTTGAAAAATAAGTAAATGTGAAAAGAGAGAATGAAAAATAAAAATTTCAATGAAACAACATTAATTCCATTGGGTTTGGTCTGTCTTTCTGTCAAATACAATAAAAATGATAAATAAAGACCATGCAACACCTCATATTAAAAAATATACTATGAGGAAAAGAACAACATCATGCCCCATGT